TAATGGATTTCCTCCTTGGATTTTTTTTTTGTCCATCTTCTCTTCCTTAGCTTTCCACTAATGTCCCTACTGGGGTTTTTTCTTGTTGTCTTTTGGGTTTCAGTGTCAGGTTCTTTTTTTTATGTGGAAGACCAATCACTTCTGATTTATCACCCTCTCCAGGAAGAAGCCAAGTGTTCCAGGTCACAGCTGTTATTTCCACAGTCCTGCACTCCAAGTGTGTCTGTACATGTGTTCTGTCTTCTCCTGCGGCACATGCCATTGTGACTGTATTGGTAGGAGGAATTCCCACTGAGCTGCAGCCTCATCTGTTCCCCAGCTACTGTCTGAAGAAGGTATTTAAGGCATTAAGGTGCAGATTCACAAAAAGCCCGTAGGTGCCTAACACCCAACTATACAGAGCTGCCACCAACTGTCCTTGTACTGACATCAATTGATATAACAAAAATATGTCATAGAAGAACAAAGGATTTCCTGAGCTAAGGCTACCAGCCCAGGACAAATGGCCTCCCTCATGGAGGATGGAGAGGGAGCTGGGTCATATCCAGGCACACCTTAAAAAATACAATGCTGGACTTTGGAGGTCTGCTATGTTTTGAACTGTATGTAAAGGAGGAAAAATGATACCTCCCCAGTTTTAAAAGGAATTGACATTTATTTTATATTCTCCAGATGGTAGAGAGAAATACACTAAGTAGGTGGATGATATGAGTCAAAAGAGAAAACCAGGGTCCCTCAGTTTTCTGTGGGAGACTGCTGTGCATAGGCAGAGTGCCAGCAATTGGGGGGCAGTTTGGGTAAGGTTTTGAAAAAGGAGAGTTGGCAGGTAAAGTAGTCAGGATGAATCTAGGGGATAGGTTGTAAAAAAAAAGTAAGTTGTAGCTTCACGTCACCTCTTGTCACATACTTAACTAGTTAAATCTGTGAATAAGTGCCTCAATGTCCAGGGGACAAGACTTTTTACTTTCTACTCTTTCGATACCTAGAACATAAGGTCTCTCTATGTTGAGACATAATTGGCTTCCTACCCTTGAGTATAGGTAGGTAGGTAGGTAGGTAGATAGATAGATAGATAGATAGATAGATAGATAGATAGATAGATAGATAGATAGATAGATAGAT